TATAATGAAATGATACAAATAAAAGTGTTTTTTTTAATTAGTTTTTTTCTAGGTTATGCTTAATGTCAATTCTTTCCCATCCCATTTCTTTGTGCTTGTGAATGTTGTTAATTATGCTCTTCGTAAAAAGCTACTTGTTTCTCGAAACTCTGATATTCTTATTTTTTTCTCTTCTCTTATATATTTTGTCGTTTATTACTGTTGGTAAAATAAGAGGAGCTTTAATTATACTGTTGCTATTGTTGATTTTTGTTATTTACGAGGAGGAAAGTTAATCATCTCCTGTAATATATACATATTTTTTCAGAGTGATATTGATGATATGACCTTTGATTGAAATGTGATTGTCTTAATGTGGGAATGAAAAAAATTAGGGAAAAATTTCATAATTCTAAAATTGCAGTAAGACGTACTGGACGCGTATATCAAGATTGACCGTATAGAAAAGATTACTATGAAATGCATGATAGTCTTTTCTGCAAACAACTGGTGTATATCGGTTAAGTTTCAGGATGGAACAGCACGAATTTGGTTTGAAAAGATTGTTTCTACTGCAGAAGCCAACACTACTTATCAAGCCTAATGCAATTTTGAAATATATGTTTATTTTAATTTTGATAAATTTCTATTTATAGAAATGGAAATTTCGTCTATGGCTGTAGTACCACATAGTGCAACTGCAGTGAACAAGTCGGATGATGCAACAGTTTTAGTGGATGCCTTGCCTTATCTTGATTCGGATTATACAGAATCCGACCGACAAATGGCAATGCAGCTAATAGAAGATGAATGCCGAGTTTTCCGTCCAGTTAAAAATTATTTGCAAAACATGTCACCTCCTGATTTTGATATGTTTCTGACACCTTGTCTGATCAAAGAACATATTAGGATGTCCAAAAAACAAGTAGATTTCATTTTTTATTTCTTGTTAAAATTATGGCATTTTTGTAAATGTGGATAACATCCTGTTATGTCGATGGGAATTTAATGAGGAAATATGAAAAGATTCAGTCTTGATTTCACTATGCTGAAATTTGTATGACATTGGAGTGCTTTATTTTATGCAGACAGCAAACAGATCAGTGACAAATAGATCAATGGCATAATAAGTAGAGGATTCAAATTAAGAAATGGCTTTGCGTATTTCTTCACAAAGTTTCAGATTTTTTGAACTGTTAATTTTATCACTTATGTCCTATGTTCATATTTTTCGGTAGTTGTAGTTTTAATTTTTCAGGAAATGCCAAAATTAGATATGTCACGATATGAATTATCATGTCCATCAACAACAGGACGACAGGGTGATAAAACATCGTGGAGAAAAGCACGTTTTCAAACAAACTTCTTCCTAATTTTCATTCGAATTCTAATATACATTTCAATTTTTTTGTGTTTGTGAATAACGCCATATCGGTGATAATAATAAGAATATTATAACAGCAGCAATAATAGTTCAGGCCATTCGTAATGCGGCTGCTCAGAATGAACATTTATTACTTCGTAATATCAATTTACAACTAATGGACGAACATGCACCACCTGTTTACCTTCGATATAACAAGGAATTAGAAACTATGCTTCACTGTGAAGAGAAAGAACTAAGGAAGGTAGCAATTTTAAATCGTTTTCGAAATCTTGAATATTGTTTTTTGTTTCTAACAACTTTAATTTGTTTTTAACTGCATTATTCATATTTTAATTGCTCCGGAAGTGTCGCAGCACTTTGCTTGCACAATTTGAACTGCATCAATTTTCATATTATTTTGTACATGCCTACTACTTGGCTTAGCACTTTATCTCATTTCCTAGATTTTATGTATGAGGCTCAATCGTAGACTTTTGTGTAGGTTTTCTCTTGTGTCATTTTCATTCAAAAATTTTCATTAAAATCACCAAAATTTCAGCTTCGAGAAGAGGTAATGGAAATTCACTCGAGACGACGGAAAAGTCAAATGGAAGCGGGATTAAAACTAAAAGATCTAGAGCAAAACTGGGTACAAATGGTCACTAAAAATTATAAAATGGAGCTTGCTTGCCAGGAACTAGCAGCGGATAATGAGGTATTGGCCAAAAAAGCTAAATTAATTTCATAGAGTTCTTTTTTACGCTTTAGTATGTGTTGTTGACAATATTGCTTTTTAGTAATTTAAACCGACGAATAGAAAGAGTTCAGTATGTTAGAAGATTTTTTGGAACTTATTCCTATTTATCAGTCTTTTACACAATTGATTGATTGTATGAGGTTTCAGTTACATGTCTGCTTGTTTTGTTTTCTTGGATTGATGTATGTCTTGATTCTATCTGTTGTCTGCAGTGATAAATTTTCTATTACAGTTAAATTTAGATATTTTTTGGTTTTTGTTGGAAAGAAATTTTTTCGGGAGTTGAAAATTTTTATTCTCTCTTATACTTTACTTTTAAGTAGATCAACAAAAATTAAAAATGTATGTAATATAATTTCAAATCTTAAGATTTTTCGGCGCAAATAAACGATTTTTAATTGTTTTGCATTATATTTTCAGTTTTAGAAGTACGAGAAAATATTTAGCTACAGAACTGTTCTTCGGAAAAATAAAATCTAGAAATAAAGAATAATCACATATGTTAGTTTATTGCTCCGATCGAGCGGAATACTGAAAAAGATTTCAACTTTTGAAGTTTATTTTTACCATTTTCCTTACAGTATTTTTTTTTAATAGGAGGAATAGAGGCGATAATGCATTTTATATGAACTACATGTATGAATTATTTTACACCACTTCTTTTAATGATCATATTGTGTAATGGTGCCTGCATAGAGATGAGAGCAAAAATGTAGTGGCTGTTAGTTGAGTAAAACAAATGATAATTGAAATTAGTCCTATCGATTACACTCTCTGTGTACACCTTTTCTTCCTCTTACAACTTTTTTTTTCTCTTATTAGTCGAATTTTTCTCATTACTGTTCTCTTTTTCAATTGTTTATTTGCGAGGTTATGCATTGTTTATGTGTCATAAAAGTTTTGCAAAAATAATTTTTCTCTAAATAAGAGTGAGAATAAATGAGAAAGTATCGGAAAAGAAATTGGGCAATGAATTTTCGTAGTTCGTAATTCCTGGAAATCTCAGTATTTACTGAAGATGGTAACATCTGATTCTTTAGGAATTGATTATTACAAGTGGTTATTATCAAAGTATTGCAATTAATTCAAAGTAATGAGATAAGGATGTTAAATAATTAAATAGTTTACTAAATAGTTACTTAATTGGAAAAAAAATTAAGTGGTTGATAAGTTTCCCCGAGGCATATACGTCAATGGTTAATTAACGCAGAATTATTGATTTGTTCTGTGAAATAATGCAGATATTTTAATGATTTTTCCTGCATATTCATTTCAGTGTATTTTATTGAAATTGAATCTTAAGTTTCTGCCACTGCTAAAGACTGATGTAAAAGAGTGGAAATGACATGGCAGAGTTATGTGATACCACTAATCGGCAATTTTATCATTTTAGGGGTATATTTTTCTTTTATTTTAAAATGTATTTTAAGACATATAATAAGGGCAATTTGATGCAAAGTACTACCTAATAGAATACTTAATTTTTTTAACTATTTAATATTGGAATAGCAATGTTCTCAGTGCACTATTCCACGTAAAATGATTTAGCCTGAGATTTTAATTTTTCCAGTAGTTACATTTTGTATGAAAATTCTTTTTGTCTTTTATTAATCATGCTTTAGTATAATCCTTTAATTCGATTTCTAGCTACTAGCTACTAATATTATAGCTAGAAACCGAATTAAGGGATTATACTAAAGCATTAGCACTTGAATTAACTAAGTTAATTCTTCTTCGCTTTCTAAGTCTGATTCTGACTTGCAGTCTTGTTTTCTGCTTGGATATTACCAGTTTTCGTTTGGATGGATTTTGATTCTTGTCACTTTGCATGGTTTAAAATCTCACATGTGGCGACAGCGCGAGAAGCGACTTTTAGGTTTGAGACAAGCCGCTTTGAAGGAACGAGAGGTTGGTTTAATTTGTTAAAGTAGTGTTGGTTTGTTGTATGTAAGTTTATGTTTTTTAAGACATAGTTTACATCATTCTAAAATTACGAAACATTTTTTGTTTAATTACAGGTTATATTAGCGCAGCTGCAAGATCTTCCAGCTTGGGTTCAATTTCCGGATACTGAACGAGTCGAGTGGCTTAACAAAGTTTGTTTCCACTTAAGGAAGTAATATTGCTTATTATATAGGCTCTATTAATCTCCATTAATTCCTAACGGAGATTAATAGTACGACAATACATCTATAGAATGTTTTTGCCAGTGATGCCATGGATACTTACTAATGTGAACTATTTGTGATAATGTAAAAGATTTCGATAATGCAAAAATTGTTGCTAATTTCGAGCTGTCAGAGTTTATTGAGAAATTTTTTTTCTAAAAAATAACATTCTTTAGGTTATATTGCAACTTTGGCCATACATTACCGAATATTCCAAGTATTTCATGCTTGAATACATCGAACCTGAGGTTAAATCGCAACTACCAGCTATCTTTAAGTCATTCAAATTTACAAAAATGGATATGGGTGATATCCCTTGTCGTGTCGGCGGTATCAAAGTAATTGTTATAAAACATTTTTTAAATTTTAACAAAAACTTTTTCTTCAATGTAAAACTAATTTTTATTTGAAGAATTCTTGAAGAGGTTACTTAGATAAGTTGTTGAGTCTTACTGAGTCTAAAATTGTTAACAATCTCATATTTACTTATATGAGAATTGTTTTAAATGCTCTGTGCTGATTGTTAATTAATTTCCATTTTTCCCGTCCGATTAGGTTTATACACATAATGTTGGACGAGATCGCATTATAGTTGACATGGACATCGCTTATGCTGGAGATGCTGATTTTGATGTTACTGTTGCAGGTTTCACTGGTGGTTTAAATCAGCTACAGGTGCAATATTTTATGGTGTTTCTGAAGATTAGAATGCATTTAAAAAATTATTAGCATTACTGCTGTAATTCACACTGTTATCTAGTGAAAAAAATATGATACTTTGAAAAATTCCTTAAGAAAAATATGAATTTATAGTTGAATATTATATGATTCCGATATGATTAAATGATATGTTCCAGTTTTCTGGAAAGTTGAGAGCTATCTTGAAGCCGTTATTACCATACCCACCAATGGTTGGTGGCGTTTCCGGGTTCTTCTTAGAAAAACCAGTGAGTTCGACGAACAAATTGTTTTGTCTTGCAAAATCAATTGGAAGTTATTGAAATAATATCTTGTTTTCAACCATCTCATTTACAAGCCTTTTTCGTAAAAAGTATTACATTTTATTTGCATTTTGATTCTTTCAGATTTCAGAAAATCGATTTTAATCTAACTGGTATGGGTGAATTTGTGGAATTGCCTGGTTTGTTAAATGCAATTCGTGCAATAATTGACTCTCAGGTGAATAATTTCAGCGTTTCTTTTATTTTTGCCGTGAAAGTCCGATAGTTTTTGATTGTAATATTAAGTTTTCCTTCCACTTGTTGAAGAAAACTGATAATATTTTCGGGAATGGTTTTTGCTCTTTTACTTCTGGTACTACATTTTTTCCCTCCACTTGTTGACAAAACTAATGAAATTTTCGGGAATACAAAAATTTTCTAGGTTTCGGCTTTATGTGTGCTTCCGAATGAAATCGTTGTTCCTTTGGCTCCAAATGTCGATATCACAAAATTGCACTTACCAGAACCTGACGGTGTTCTTCGTTTGAAAATTGTGGAAGCTAGAAATCTGGAAAATAAGGATATAAAATTCACAAAGAGTATGGCGAGTGATCCATATTGTCAGATACAGGGTATCATTTTTTAACTTCCTTTTAGTTTTTGTACATACTCGATCCCACGTTATTTTTGTAAGCCTACTTTTTTCGAAACACATGATTGCAAGAAAGTTAACTTACTTATCCTTTCCTAACTCATTGACTCATATAACAGTTCAATTCTCAGCTAACTAATACTCAATATATTTATTGAACTTATTAGATTTCTTCCATATATTTTTTCGAATATTTTCAGTTGGTTCACAGTCCTACAGAACCAAGACGATTAATGATGATCTAAATCCAGTTTGGAATGAATATTTTGAATTTGTTGTTGATCAAGCTAATGGACAAAAATTGCGTATAGAATTATTTGATTATGATAAAGCGGGCAGTGATGAGGAATTGGGAAGATTGTCGATCAATCTAGATAATGTCAAGGAAAAAAGAAATCTTGATGATTGGTTTCCATTAGATGCATGTAAACATGGCGACATACACATTCAAGTAATTATGCACAAGTTTTTTGAAAACATTAGCATTTATTGACTACTGTTTTCATAAAGAGTGATCTAGTTCAGTGGCTAAGTTTCGTCTTAAATTTCTTTTTTCAAATCCACAACAGCCATAAAGCATTCGAGAGTGGATTCAACACTGGAAAAATAGCTCTAGATAAATAAGCAGACCAGAATTTTCTTAAAAGTTTTCTCTTATTTATTAGTTCAAATGTGTCCAATAAATTAATTTAGTTAGATTTTGCATAAATAAATATTCGTTGAAAAAATTTCTTTTGTAATCACAAAGAGTTGTATTTTCGAAAAAAAAATTTTTGCCTATTTTTAGGCTGCTTGGATGAACTTGTCATCTTCGCCTCTCGATCTTACTTGTCAGGAATTTGAAAGTTCTTGGTTCAATACTAACAAACCAGTACATTCTGCATTGCTTATGATCTTTATTGATAGCGTATCCGATTTGCCGGTAACTTTCAAATTCTCTGAGAAAGAAATACCATGATGCTGATTTACTGGAATCAATTACGTCAATGCAGTTACTTAAAAACTTTAAGGAATGATATCTTTTTTTATATCAGCAGAAAGCAGATGGTTCAAGTTTCTTTCAAGTACTTGTTAAGTTAAATGAAAGGTTTAACCAAGATGATATTGAGAAGCAATTAAGCCAAAATCAAGTGCGTACGGTTGTTCTAGCAAATCAAAACTTCTGACAGAAATCTGAAAGTTACAACTGTTTTCGTGTAACAATTTACGTTTGAGGTTTCCAATTCGCAGTTAAGTTTTCCATCTTTGATTGTTTTAGTATCCGAAAGCAAACTTGGAACCATCGCCGTATATTGTGGTAAATCTTGGCAAAGACTTTCAACAAACGCCTACAAAAATAAAAACTGTTAATCCATTATTCCAGAGCAAGATTCTATTTTTTATTCATCACCCGGAAAGACAAGAACTGAAATTCGAGGTATGTCTTAGATAACTTATACCGTCAGTTAATAATTTCATTTAATAACACTTCATACATTTGAAAATAATAATGCTTTGGATAAATTAGTTATGTTCTTAATCTTTTTTACTCATTTTTTTACATCATCCTCAAGAAAATACTGTTGTCAAGAACTCCCAAATAAGTGCTTAGTTGGATTACAAAAGTAGAGCAAGTAACATACAACTGTCTGTTTCCACACATAGAAAGTTATTTCGAGGCTAAATCCTGATTTTCCATGATAAAGCATTTTTAATCTTCATTATACCCTGACAGTGTTCATTATAATAAGAGGATTCATATTAAACCACTTCACAAACATTTTTAAGGCTATTGATTATACAACAAAACGTTCTCTCGGTGAATTAGTTTTGCCGTTAAAGACAATTTTACAAGAACCAAATTTGGAATTTTTTGAACAAACTTTCCCATTAACGCAAGGAATTCATCAAAGCTCAATGGTCATCACAGCGCGCATTAGGGTAAATTATTTAGAGATGGAAAATATTTCGGTATAAATATATCTTTGTTATACTAATTTGCTTTTGATTTGGTTCTTAAATTTTATTATTTTGAGAATATTAGGAAGTTATTTTATAACGTACCGAAGTGTTAAATACCATTCTTCAAGAAAGTTGAAACGACGAACATTTAATTATAATAAAGCGATTCATCAATTCAACAAAGAAATAGTCCGAACTGGGTTCAAAGCATTGTAACGTGCAAATGTGAGATATCTCGGTATAACGATATTTTAACGACATTTTGGAACAAATTATAACGATATTTTGAACGTTTTTGCTTATTCAGCATTAAAAAAACTTCCATTATATATCCAATCCTGATTAAGATTATCCTATTATATTAGTTGGGTTATTGCTTTTAGTTCACTTTTTTTATAGGCTCTGGTTACCGGTCAACAAATGGGGGATTCTACTTCTGGAGGTAACAAAGAAGCAATTTATGGTAATGGTAAGATTTTATTTAAATCACCAAATGTTTCCTGTTTGCCGCACAGTTTTCTGATAAATATATTCCTACATTTGGTGGGATGAATCTTTTTTAATTATTAATTTCTATCAGTAAAATAGTTATTTACATTCGACAGATTGTGAAGTCTGATCATTTTCATTCTGTTCACTTGTAGTATCGTAACTTAAAAACGCTATGGTTTGAAAAACTTTGTATGTGATAAGGCTATAATTCTTATTTTCTGCACCCACAACATGAGTTAGAAATTTCGGTGGAATGATCATTAAATAGTGAAGATTATAATAAATATTTGTAAATAGACTGAGTAATAGGTGTTGTAGTGGATTTAGTTATTTTTATGTTTCCCTTTAGTTAAAGGTTAGCTTCGCATTCTATTTGTCCAATAAATATATGATATATTTCGGATCCTTTTTTTTTCAGAAACATTCATTGAGAGAGCTGAAAAATTAGTAACAGTTAATGAAACTAATGAGCGAGATCGAAATTCCACACGATATGAAGTGAATCCTCAAAAATCAAGTGAAGCAAATACTAACGGAAAAGCATTGATCTTGGATTCGAAATTACCAATCAACGAGCAGATGAAAATGCGAAGGAACAGCAATGAATCAGCCACAAGTGCATATAAACGTCGTCGTACTCTTGGTGAAAAATTGTTCCCAACGAAACATACGCAGGGCAAAGGAAATCCGTATGTTTTCTGAGACATGTTTCACACTGTTAGGAAATAGAAATTACTAAGGTTAACTGTGATTTTCTCAGAAAATGGTAAACATTATCCTTGGGGAAAGATGAACAAGGACTACATCGGTGGTCGAGAGATACTCTCTCTCTCTCTAAATTCCAATATTTGATTTAGTCATTCAGGAATTGAAAATATATTTTCAACTGGTATTAAAAATGGCCTCACTGGTCTTGGTTGAATTGCTACATATTCATCTAATTTTTTCATCAGTTTTTCTAATGACTTCTTTTCATATTCATTGTTTTCATCCTCTAATGCTTTTAATGCAGATTCAATCACTACAGGAGTATGATCACCTGGGAACTAACTTCTACATATTTTTTTAGCACTGGTCATACTGGTCGCTTGCAGTTTAGTCTTCAGCATTTGAAAGAATCAAATAAGCTGATAGTACGAGTCGTTCGTATAATGTACGTGTTATTTAGTATCAAGCAGGTCTAAACTGTTTTCATCCGCCTCAAATTTTCTTATCAATTAATTTAAATAAATCTCATGGCCGATGGATTAACTATAAAATTTATTTTGTCATCCTCAATTATTACAGGATAATGAATCATCCTTTGATTATATTTTCTGATTACTAACCAGGACTTTACCTGCTTACTCATTCCGGCTTACTTGGAGATCCCGAGAAAAATATGTCCATACCGTCGTGTTTGGCATTCTGTAACGCATACTGACTGGAATTGTAATCATTTTTAACTTTCATCTGCACGTATGTAACAGTCTATAATATTTCAGAGAACTATATCCAATTGATAGTCAAGGCTGCGCAGATCCATATTTAACCATACGTCTAACATCTTCGGAAAATAGGCGTGGTGGTGAGAAACGAAAAATGCCAATTGTTAGGAAATCTCTTAATACGCTTTTCGACAATCAGTCAGTTTCTATCAGTAATATGTTTTCCTTAAATCGTTCTTTTCCAAAAACTTGCGATAGATCTGATTTAACATTTTTTTGCTAAGCATTGGTCCTAAAGCTCTCCAAATGAAAAATTTGTCTAGTTTGAGGTGTTATACTTCATTTTGTGTCCCAAAACAATAGAATACATTTTTCTTCATTATGCATGGCGGAATTAGTAGTGAACCAATCAAATCAAATTTTGTGTCATTATATTCCTTGATATCTGTTTCTTAACATTAAATTGTTCAGGTTCGAATTCGATCTGCATTTTAGCGATATCAAGAATCACATGCTCATCTTCACTGTAAAGGATGCTACCAATTATGGACTTTTTAGCAAAGCTCTTGTTCTCGGAATGGTTCGTTCGATTAACAAATTTTCAAAACCTTCGCTCTTGATCAAATACTTGTAGTACAAAGTCTTTTCAAGAAGTAGATCTAATTTAATTTCCCAAGTTACTCGCTCTCCATATTTCTCTAGGCACAAATAAGGCTGGATAGTTTGGAAATAACAGAAGAGTTGTCGAGCTTTTGGTATGATCTCAAATGCAGCTGATTATCAAATCGCAATCCACACACAACGTATCTCGCTTCTCTGCATCTCGCGACGCTATGCAATTGCATTTAATTCGCGACACTATGCTGTTTTGAACTGTTTATTTTACATTTTGCTTGTGTTGTTACTGGTTTCAGCATTTCATTTCGTAACGAAAGACTTTTGGTACGTGCAATACTGGCCAACGCATTGTTTTTGATGTTAGCAAGACTTCAGACTTCCATGTTTTAACTCAACCTTACTTCGTTCAAAACGAGCAACCATTTCAGTTTTTTTAACTTATTAATTTTGTGGTTATTCTGCTAGATGCCCCTGTAGATATAAAGAGAAAATTTTCCGATGTATTGAATTACCAAATATTGGAAATGCAGGAGTTCCTTTGCAAATTTTCACTAAATTTTTTTCCTTACTTTCGTAACAACTCCAAAAGAAAAGTTTTAAAAATTTCTAATTAATTTTTATTAAACACTTTCATTTTTCCACACGTTGTATCTTGCCTTGGTTTCAAACCACTTATTTCAATTTTTATTAAAAATCCTTCTTTGTTTTCATCTATTTTTTATTAATCAAAATGCAACAGATTTCAGTAAAGCATATGAATATAACAGTTCAGAAATTGGGCATATTCATTTCCTTGCCATATTAGATCGAATGATGCAGAAATTAAGAGATCTATTTTCAAGAACTCTGCAAGCTATTCCAGAGATATTCCACTAGATTGGCCTTGATCTTTTCACAAGCTTTTTCTCTGTCCTTGAAGCAAGGAAGTCGGCGGAATACAGCTATTTTCTTGGTGAATCTACATTCTTTGAAATACCACACATGTTGTCGTCGAACCCTTTCGACCACCGAATTCAAAAATATTTTTTGATGGAATCTCTTCGAGAAATCTCAACTCTTCACCGCTAAACTGCTTTTCTAGTTCATCCCTGCAATTTAAATTATTATACACTGAGAAAATTTTTTACTCTTAGAAAAATGCGCCATATAAATTAATAATTTTAAACAGTTGCACTGAGAGTTAAAGGATCCAAATTTTTTTATGGAGAATTCTTTTACATGAACGTTTTGAATTTATTAAGGCTGGATTCGAATTTACTAAGATTGGTAGAACCATATACGATTTGACAAATGCTCACCAAAATAATTCACGATAATTAACAAAGCGCTATACTTTTAATAATTCCCTACATATGTGGAAATGAAATGATAACGCAGTACCTCGAGTAGTTACATGAACAAATGATGAGAAATCCATGAGATTTCAAAGTTTTGCAAATATTCGCCTTGTACTTCTTCAAACGACAATTACGATCGACTGATAGAGACAGCGCATCCCATGTGCCCTTATCAAGAACAGCGTCGAATTTTCCCAAGTTAATGGCTTCATTCAGTAGATCGATCATCTAGAAATAACTACCTACATGACGTTTTAAGCTAAGAATAGCTTATTGATTATGGATAAAGATCAAAAATTACCCGGAAATCAATTTTGATATTGCTTTCCGCGCATTGTCTTTCTGTAAGCTTCCTGGCTAACAGTATTGCTCCTTCGGAATAATCAACACCACATAAGTTAGAATAGCCTTCTTGTTGCTAAAGTGAAAGAAATTATGGACAACTACACTTTCTACCATCAAATGGTTAAAATTTCCAATACTTCTAGATACAACTGAAATTATAAATTTAACAGTTACAAAAGGAGCGATACATCAATGAGTCACTACAGTAAAAATGAACGTTAATGAACTGTAATGCATTCAAATAAATAAAGTGGTACGAAGAATTATAATGCATTCAGCCTTATTATTACAATTATCCATTTTAATATAAAATGAAAAAGCTTTAATTGTGAATATGTGAGAATAGGAAGAAGAGATGAAGAGAAAGATGCTGCACGAGGTCTGGAATAGAAAGATATAACCAAGCTTCGGATATATATAGCTGGCATCACTACTTCAATGTGAATTGAACTAAATAGCTGCAACTCTGGTTTTGATTGTCTAAATAGTCGAAACCTTGGTTCTTTTCTCTCCCACAAACAAAGCGAATCTACTTATTTTATAAGCTTAAAAAATTAATTTGAGTAACTTCTAGTACAGAACTACCTCATTCCTCTCAAATCCAATATTATCATCTCCTAGCTCAAACTGCGACAATGCTATACATACCAGCGCTCTCAACAATGAACCATTGCCACAACCAAAATCAATCAATTTGCATGATTTTGATAGTTGTTCATTTCTGCTAACATACTTCACCAAACGATTCTCAGTAATACGTCCAAACCATACGTCACCTTCATCTCCAAATTCTTCGAAATTTTTCAACTCTCTTTCATAATGTTCAATCCAGCTGTAACATCATCTTATTCTAATATATTATTCATTTCGCCATATTTAAGAAACTTATTGATCTTGTTTTTCATCTGAAGTTAACTTTTGATAGATCATATTAGAACAATAATGAGAAAGTGACTGTTGACTAGCACACAATGTTAATAATAAAGAGCTGTATTTTTTTTTCAAAGATACAAACTAAAGAAATAACAAAAAGAATATCATAAATTTACTATTCTTTACTAGCAAGCCTTGAGCAAATTATTTCATCCTCTGCTTCATTTATCAAACTTTCATCCACCATTTTTCTTCCTGTAAAATACAACTACTGAAAATATAAATAGCCAACTAGTAAAAAATTCCTTCGTAAAACGTTACATGGAACACGTAAGCAGCTAAGTTTCCAAGTGAAACTTTAGATGCGACATGCGGACAACGTCAAATGCGTAAATGGAATTTCTTCCGTAGTAATACTATCCAATGCTAGTAAACACTACAAATATTTTTCCAATTTTTTGCACCTTTTTGCTAAACTAAAAATTCTAGTTTAAATTTATGAAGTACAAAAATGTTTTGCGAGAGATAAATGCGACAAAATGACATCACTACTGGACAAAATCATCACAAAGATTAACATGTCGATAACGTAAGCAAGCGTAAAGCTAACACGTAAAGAAGACGGCACTTCTCGCATGTAAATTGTTGACTCATTTTACTATCAATGTCTCTTCCCTCCAACTTTTGTGTTGTCATTCTTTACCGTATGTATGCCTACACAGTCTTATTTCTCCGTTATCATTAAATCGCCCATGCATTCTGTGCAACCAATACAAAAGTATAAGTGTAACTTCTTATTTGCTTATCAAGTAATTAATCCAAGATAATATACTGATATTAATAAATGCATGTGGGGGGGAGGGGTCAGGCATGTCACAATTCCATAAAATTTCGAGGTTTTAAAAATTTTTGGTATTCTAGTTCTTACCTTATTTAGAAGGAGAGAGAGAAAGAGAAAGAGGGAGAGAGTATGCGTCTATGCAAGAGTTAACTATACGAAATTATACAACAATAAAGGAAGTTAACATAAATCAGGGAAACAGATCAGTTGTTTTTTGAATCTTGAAATTTTAAAAATTAACTTAAAAACGTTTTAACACTTCTAATGGATAACATTTAAGAGCTATCCTATCATGCTATCCTATCATTCTTTCTTTTGATCAGAATTACGGGAGATAATAAAGTGGGATGATTGTATAATTATGGGAGATGACTGAATAATTTCGTCTAAATTTACTGAGTTAAAAATGTCGTTAAATGAGATTTCTCTGTAGATGAAAAGACCTCTTCTCTTGCTAAGAAAATAATGAAAAGATAAAAAGTTATCTGCTTCATAAATGTTGATATTATCAATTTTTATTTGAATCATAGCATTGAGAGAAATACACCGCTGAACTTTCTCTCTTTAATTAGTATGAAATCTTGGTTCCAGAATTTTATAATTCTTTTCATGCCACTAGCATTGGAATTGTAAAATTCGAATAGGTAATTGGTCTCTTGAACAGGGGTGGAGCATCCGTTTCGCCTTCTTCTGCCTGAAATCCATTCATTTCAATCGGAAATTTTGTTTCTTTTACAGAAAATAGTATGATCAAAAATTGATCGAACAACATCGATAACTTGAGAATTTGCAGAATATTTCCATTATAAAATCAAAAAAATTTTTTCATTTTATCTTGTTAGAATTAAAAAAAGAAAACTTCTTTCTTATCTAATTTCAGTATGAATCTTTAAGTTCAGCTCATTTCAAGCAATATAATTAAAAACGGAGAAGAATGGAATATGATGAATTCAATAAAGTTGAAAATTCTAAAATTTTCCGAATTCCAGTATCTATTATTTGTTTCGAATACTTCATCGAGTGTTCAATGTACCGGTGTATGTACGAGTACGAGTTTGTCGATCTTTGGATTACCAGCTTGTCGTATCACTTCAACAGTTTGTTCTGCGCCTGGTTCCACAAAGGAAAACACTGGATTTACTCGATATATCTCGTTGTCCGAACATTTTATCTGTATTAAATACGTTATGTCCTTCGTTCGCAATTTTAACTTCAAAAAAAAAAAAAAATTCGTTTTTTGCAAAATGCATAGAAACTTTAATCGAATTAACTCAGCGTTACCCATTCTAATAACTTGACCAGTTGGTCACTTTATCTGTTCTTATCTACATATTTACCTATACCTTACCTATGAAATCTATGCGGAATGGACTAAAATGGATATGCAAAAGGAACCTTAATGGCTTGTCGTTTGTCAGAAGTATTCTTAGTGGTAAACTTTACTGTGCCGCCATTCTCTGTGAACTTAAGCTCTTTCGGTTCAAACGTTACTTCTTCCTTCTTTTTTTCCTGCTCTTTTTTCTCCTCCTCTTCCTTTTCCTCCTCCTTTTTCTTCTCATCCTCTTCTTTTTCCTCCTCCTTTTTCTTCTCATCCTCTTCCTTCTCACCCTCCTTCTTATCATCCTTTCCTTCTCCCTCTTTCTCACCTTCCTTTTTATCCTCTTCCTCCTTATCTTCCTTAATTTCTTCCTTCTTTTCCTCCTTCTCCCCCTCTTCTTTCTTTTGTCCCATCTCCTTCTCCTCTTCTTCCTTCTTTGAACTTTCCTTATTTTCACTTTCTTTTCCAACGGCAATATCCTTGCCAGCCTCACTTCCCTTACTTTCCTTTTCATCAGACTTCTTATCGCTCTCTTTCTTCTAAAAACTTCCATTCGAGTAAATGCTTTTTATAAAAAATATAAAAAGTGAATGGTTGGAAGTGCAACTGTTAATTTCAAATAAGTTCAAAGTGAAATTCAATTTGTACTTTAAAATTTCAAATACATATGAACGTGGTAGTTGATTGTTTAGTTTGGCATTTAGGTTTAACAATCAAAAACACTAAAGAAAAGTGAAGTGAAAGAATAATGAAAAGAAAAGAGAAGCCATACACTTTTTTTGCTTCCTTCCATCTCATCCTTCTCCGTCTTCTTATCACCTTCTTCCTTCTGAAAAACATTTTGTTTCCTATCTCTTCTACATTGTTGCTCGAAATGCTTACCTTTAATTACTGAATAATAAAATGATAAGTATATCACACAAATGATAAGTATGAATATTTCTAATCAATGGAGTATTATACGGTAGAAATGAATACCACTGAGGCTTCTTTCATCTCTTTCTTTTCCCCTTTTTCACCTTTCTCTTTCTTCTTTTCACTCTTCTCCTTCTTATTTTCATCCTCCTCTTCCTTCTTCTCACTTTCTTCTTCCTTTTTCCCACTTTTCCTTTCCTTCTTCCCACTTTTCCTTTCCTTCCTCCCACTTTTCCTTTCCTTCTTCTCACTTTTCTCTTCCTTTTTCCCACTTTTCCTTTTCTTCTTCCCACTTTTTTCTTCTTTTCCATCACTTTTTTCTTTCTTCCCATCTTCTTTGTCCACTTTATCCTTCTCATCCATTTGCTTACTTTCTACTTTTGGCGCAGCTTCCCGTTCTTTATTACTTTCTGACCTCTTCAAATCCTTCGAACCATTCTGTTCTTTTTTAACCTAAATTCACTGGTAATGAATTTCATCAGTCTGGAAATCACTCCACGGAAATGGAACTTCAATTCCCAATAAAAAAACTTCAGCACTGTTATAAATCTAAAATATATCGCTGTATCGATAATTTTAAATTTTGCACGACACATAAATTGACCTTTTTCAAAATATTAATCAAGCAAGAGTAGCATGCTGTGTCTTCTATAAGTTCTCTCACCTCAATGACCATATGCTTATCCAATTCGAGATCACTACCGGCTATCGCTAACTTTTTCTGAGTTGTTATCGTTTGCTTAATGATCAAAATAATCATTTGACATTTTTGCTTTCATATTCCATCATGAAAAATAACCTTTTTGGATCCATCTTCTTGTTTTTCTTTTGTACTTCCCACTTTCTCTTCCTAAAGAAAAAACTTGAGTTTCAAGTCGATTTTTTCGGTTTAACATATGCCAGTGCCTATAGTGATTTGACTACAAATGCATCCCTTTTTTTTTCTCTCTCTGAATTAATTTTTCAACTTTTGAAATTTCTCCATCAAAGAAGGGAAGAATTTTTGAGAAAATTCAAAAAAAGAAGAAAATTTTACCATTTTCTTGCCTTTGCATAATATAATTAAATAGGTGAAGATAATTAGCGTTTTGAGTAAACCAACAACAGTTATGAAAATCCACATTATTAACTTATCAGCAAAATTTCTAGCTGCAACTTTGTTGCTAATTCAGACATTATCATGCTTTTTTATTCCAAATTATTTTTGGCCACTGCTATCAAATAAATAAAAATATCTTTTTTTGGCTTATTCCGCAAAATTTCCGAAAATATTGCTATAATTTGCTTACGCTGATGAGTTATCTGTATAAAATGTACAATTCAAATATAACAAATTCTAGAATTATTAAAATTACACCAATAAAATGCCAGGAAATATACTGAAATATTGTAGCTAATAGTAGAAGTGAATAACCGATCACAGTAATTCCAAAAGTATGCAATGATTGCATTTAGTTTAATGACATCTCTTTTATACATTTTTGATAATTGATACTTCAATTGTTGATATATTTCTATAGTAGTATAGTTAATTAGCACTATGTCAATTATATATAAAGATCCACTTGAAATGGTTTAAATTAAGAAGAAATATATATTGCCTCGGATCAGGGAAAGCTTTACACAACTTTTGTTTTGCCTCAGATTAGAGAAAACTTTGCACAGTCATTATTTTGCAGATTTAAACAAAAAAAAAATTCAGTAGTTCTTGGATTATGCAGAAAACTCCATCATTTCACATCCCTACGATAGTTTGTACGAAGCGCAGTGTTGCATAGCGGTATAAATGTGAGACACGCTGTGTAGCTCGTACATATCACTGTGCAACTTTTCACTTCTGATAAATGCTTAGGGTTGAAAAGTGAGTTGGTTGGATGGTTGTGTTGCTCTCTCGTACGTGAGAATTTATTGATGTAAAAATTATCATTTCTGTTTTTTCAATGCGATAAAAAAGTTACTTTCACCATGTTCATAGTGAAATGTGTAATTTATTAGAAAGAAATTAGATAAATTTAATGTTAGAGGCTTGTAAAATTTTTCTTGGTACAATTCAAGATAATAGCTATAAAGTGATTGATAATGTAGAGTTTATTTAATCTGTTTGATTCTATCCGTATTTGTTTTCTTCTTCTTTGTGCTCCTCTATGATTTACAGTGACCTTTAGTTTTTAGTTTTTTTTTAGGTTGAATGATGTAATCATAATGGATTTTTTTTATTTTTTAGATTGAAGATAGTAAAGATGCGATCAGCAGTGATATATCGTGTTCTGTCAAGGACTCTACAGAGGCATATGTCAACAGCTGCTGCTTGTTCTGGAATGAGGATGTCTCATCCAGTTTTGATAACTCGACAGATGTCATCCAGTCGGCGTATGTTTTCGCAAATTATTAAAAATAAAATGCAGCATTTGAAAATACAGAGTCTTTTTAAAATGTTTCCAACTTCCTAGTCAGCTACAGCAATATATTACTGAGGACAGCTATTTGAGAACCCGAGATTTTCTACTTCAAATCCGACAGAGAGCTGCCATAGGTTCTTCTATCTTACACGGGATGAAAAAATTATTAGCTGAAGCAGAATTTTGGGAAGAACAGTGAACAGTGTTGTCAGTGTTCATTATTTTCCCCATACCTGAACTTACTGAAATCTTGTTCCTAAAGAATTGCTATCTTTCAAATGTGCAGCGTCTTGGAACCGATTGAGTAACTACATTCTTTTTTTTGAATGCGGGGATATTCCGGTAACAAATTTCGTTTTATTTCAGCACTGAAAAACGAGTTAATTGATGCTTTAACGAATGAAATCACGGCTGAGAAACAGCTGGAGAAGGAGAATCTTCGCGGTGCACAAGCTCCGAAAATCTCAGGTTTCGAAATTACAACTGATGGCGCTAACGTAAAGTTGGCAAAGCTTCATGGCAAAGAAAAGTGATTTTCAAAGTTTACATATAACTCGCTTTGACAGTAGTAATATATGAATAACATTAAATCGCATATATCGTTAATATGAGACATATGTCGCAGACTGTTTAAATGCAGATGATTATGTCATATGCTACCAGCTAATGTCTAATAAGTAAATTTAAGAAATGGTTTGAAACAACTATTATGGGGAAGTCCGAAATCAAATTTAGTGGTTCTTTCCTTTGAAGTCATATAGTCTAAATACTTCGACATTATCACCAAAATTGTCGTAAGATTCGCATATTTAATTACTGGCGTAAGTTTTTCAGGATTAACGTTTACTTCAATGTTAATCACTCAGTGGATATGGAAAGCGAAGAAGATGAGGTCCGTTTTCTGTTTTTTTTTTTCATTTAGGTTATTTAGTTCACTTTTCTCGTATAGAAAGAATTTAAAATTTGCTTTTGTAAGGAATCAAATTGATCCATCGCATATTAATTTTATGCTCCTTCATATTCTTTATTTATCAGTTTCTCATAGCTGTTCTTTCATTTAGGATGAAGGAGTTCCACTCGCCTTGCCTTCACTTACGATAGAAATTATCAAAGCACAACAACGATTATGCTTTTATCTCGACTTATGCGAGAACGAAGATGCAACGGAAGCAAACGAACGATGTAAGTAACAACTAATATTTGATTATTCTTTGCCAAATAAAGCAGTTGCAATAAATATACCCGATATTTACAAAAAAATGTTTTACCAAGGTTTACTAAAGTTTTTTTAATGAATTCAGCTTTATATGTTTTATTTGCAGTTGATTTCCGTGTGGCAGAATTTTACATTGCTCCAGCATCCAAGGGAACTGAAGATGAAGATGTACCCGAATCAGTTTACTCATCATCCGGCAAATATATTGACCCAGTATGCATTCTTTATGTTATAGCTTGATTTTTCTCAAATATTTTTTAATAATAAATCGGTGTTGGTCATTACATATGTTATGAGTGAAAAAAATGATTCGTGTAATCCACATTTGGAATAAGGAATGAGTTAAATAGAAGCTGTGGGATCAAGTAAAGGGACTAGATAACTAATTGTAATCGAAATTTCAGACTCTTCATGATCTTTTGTTCAATCATTATTTGGCGGAACGTGGCTTCGATCAGAAATTTTGTCGTGAAGTGGTGGATTTTGCTACACACTATGAGCACTCGCAATATGTTAAACTATTGACGGATATTCAATCATTTGTTTCAGAATGAAGAAGAAATCATCAGTAAATGACTGTTGCTTATGAAAATTTCCAAAATAACTTCTGGACTGAAATTTTAGAACTTACTATGTTCTTTGTGTGTTTGAATATCTTCTAATTTTTGTTTTGTTGAAATTTACGCATTCTAATCTTACTAATCATTGATCTTGTGCGTTATTTTTATTTCGTGTAGTAAATTTTGTTAACTATTATTTTTATTTCTTTTTTGCATTTGAAGTCTATTAATAGACTCAAAGTACTGCTATCTTTTATCTTTATTTGTTTCGTGTCGACATTTAGCCAAACTAAGGATAGGGGGAAAAGACAAAACTGCCGATGCTCAGGAAGTGTTGATAATTTTCAAAAGGAAAGCTTGTCTTACATGTTACACTGTATAGCACGATATAATTCTGTGGAATTTACTTCAGATTATCAAATATTTTCTTATAAAAATAATGTTTCAAGCACACCAACATTTAGATTATCTTTTTTTGGCCATTTGGTTGGTTTATTTGCAGAGTATGCGCTCAAGTGATTTTGATTTAACAGCGGTGGATTTTTGAACTGAGTTTATAGTTGATGGATGTAGACAAAACTATTATGTGTTTTAAGGAATTTGTCGTTAATTTAGAAAATTTTGTGAATGGCTGGTGGGTGTGAAGTAAGACTGGAAGAACTGCAGTCAAGCGATACCGAAATATTAGTATCATTAGTGAGAAGTTATCTGGAATCTTCGCCTGATACTGATAAGGAAGCCACAATTAGATTTCGTTCACCTTACATGCAAACGACAAAACATGATGCGCGTGGAGATGCGGTAGCGCTAATTGTTGAACATTTACAGCAAAGGTTCATGTTCCTCATTTTTAATTTCAAAATTTTTTGAAAAGGATATTATTTGATCAATAGATCGAATTCGGATCAAACAAAGCACTTTTGGTTAGTTAGATTTGGGAACTATACTACCAGTGTTAAATGCAATGAAGTCGCAATTGTTTTTCAGGAGGTTTCCTCTTTGGGCAGCTTATACAATAGCATATTCATTAGTGGATGTATACGCGAATGAACTGAACACAGCAGAGGTACCGTTTGATGCGAATGATTATAGTGCAATCGACGCCACAGTTTGGTGTCGTGAAGTTATACATTATTTGAACATATACCTCAACAATTTGGTAAACAATTCTGTTCCACTACCAAGTAATTATTTATCAAGATTATCTGTTTTATCTGCATGAAGTTTTTTCACTTGGTGGTATGTGTAGAATGGATTATTTAAGGAGTATTAATATTTGTAACATATCTTAGTCAATAATAATGAAAACTTAAATAGTGAAGATTTTTTATAATATGATTTCCTGTATTCTCAACTACGAGAATGGATTACAGTGACAGATTTTCTCAATTATTAATGCTGGAGTAATTAAGTGATAACACAATTTATTCTCACTTTTCATCGACTTTAAATAAAAACGAATGAAAATTTTTTATTTAGATGAAACATTTCAGTACATGCATAGTATTGCATGGATTCATGCATAAGGAATAGTATTTGTTGCATGGAACTTTTTTATTTATGTCCAAGTTTCTTCAGAGATTCAATCAATTTCCGGTCAGCTGTTGTATTCATATTGCGCCCAGAAAAATCGACGTTCCAAAATGGAAGATCGTGCAGTCCTTTTGCCTTCACTTTCCGTCATTGAGCCAACTAAGGTTTTATTTTTGATATTTTGACATATTATTCGAGATTATGTCTTAATGCTACGAAATTACAGTTGGTAATATTTACATCCAGAGCGAACTAAAATATGAATTTAAATTTGATTTCTCTAAATTTGTAAAAAAATCACTGAATCAGAGTTTCTGTTTTAATTAGTGCGCATATTTCAAAAATGTTCACATATGATTTACCTAGACTTCATGAGCGTGTTTACGGAAAAAAGTATATCGCAGCAAAACAATAATGTTATCATTCAATGAAACATAAGTAATTTTGAGCTTATTGCAGACTCACAGTACTTGTATTATTCCCAGTGCACTAGTTGACACGTTCTTATTATATTCTCATGATTGCTGAGCACTGAAATGATTTGCAGTCTTAATGAAGAAAGAGTCGGTAATCAGTAGCTATGAATGAATGTGTGATATATGTGCTATAGTTAAAATAAAGGTGATTATAGGGCGATTGTCGTGATCATGATTCGTTTTTTGCCGTATTCGATGGACATAATGGAGTCGATTGCGCCAGTTATGCAAGTTCTCATTTTGCACGATGTCTTATCGAAAATACTCAATACGCTGTCGGTCAAATTGAGAATATAATGAGAAATGCTTTCACTGAGCTCGATAAAAGACTTACTGCACGATGTAAAAATGAGGTATGCATAGTTTTGTCTTTTGTGCAGTAAACATTGGCAAACTTGAAATTATGTAAAACTGGTAACATTTCGTTACTCAGAGCTTTTAAATACATCTTAATCTAAGACATATGGATCTTTTTCCATTATTTCAGCATATTAAAGGTGGCACTACTGCTGTCTGCGCTTTTCTTCGAGCTCGGAGGCATTTATGTGTCGGTTGGTGCGGTGATTCAGCTGTAGCCGTCTTACGAAAAGATGGAGTACGGACATTATCTTCAGCCCACTCGCCAAATGTTCCGGTAAGTGCATAATTTTTTTCACTGAGTTTAAAAACTTATTCTTTAAACAAGTTGGTTGACTGCTGTGACATAATCTTTTCAAACGTAATTAGTCTGCAGGTAATGAAAACATAGATCCAGAGATATTAAATGTGGTATATTCTTCGCTGTCTGTGGTCACAGAATGGATATTATGTCTACATCCTTTAAATAAAAAACGAAAGTCTGCTATTGATAATAGTAGACCTTTGTTTTTTACTTTTTTGCCTCCATTTTTCATCTAATATCTTGTAGTTATTTCTCGTTTGTATGTTGCAAAGACACGGTGGTGACTTACTTCTGCACCAAAACCCGAAATTGAAATTTTAAAACCCTTGTGCACTTTATAAAAAAAAATCATCTTTCAGCATAGTACTTTTGACTCAAGTATCAGTGATTTTCTCAAAAGTGAAAAAACCATTGATACTTGAGTCCGATTTCAACTTTGTAGTCTGTTAATCTAAATTCCTGTCGAAAATATGTGGCCAACTAACGATATGTCTTAGCGATTGTTATTGTTCTTTTTTGTTACCCTTTTTCTCTTTCTTTTTATATTTGTTTCTTTGCTTGCTTATTTATGTCTGGTTGGATAGTAATGTCTCATCTGCTGGTAAGAATGTCCTGAATAGCGATACCAAAATTGTTGTCCGAAGTAGTTGCTAGTCAGAGAAACTGCTGTTTTTCGCAAGTGAAATAGCGGCATTGAAAAAAGCAATGATGAAAAATTTTTTTGAGCTAAACAAGTGATGAAAAGAAATTTTTGAATCGATTATATTTTTGCTACTACAGGATTTATCAGAAAAAGAATGAAATGAAGGAATAAAATGAATTAGAGATGAAAAAATTGTGACAGTATAGAAGACAATTGTGACAGTATAATCTAAATTAGAATGATGGCAGATATTCATATTAAGAAATTGACAAAAAGACTGTTACATTTTTCAATTTCCATCAGGAAGAAGTACGTCGAGTAGAGGAAGCTGGCGGTATGGTTGTGCCAATACAAGGAGAGCTGAGGGTCAACGGAATTTTAAATCTAACACGCTCTCTAGGTATGTTTTGTTAACTTTGCAGAGATCATAAAAGTTTTTTTAAAAAAAATATGGCGAGAATCATTTTGTAGTGTCTGGCTCTTGTTATATACATAATCCTCTTCTTTTTCTTCTTTCTCCCAATTTCAAGAATTGCTAGCGAAGTCTCGTAAATCGGAACAAAACCATAATCTAAATCAGTAAATAAGGATGAGAACAGCGTCTTACTTTTTCTTTCAAACTCTAAGTGTGATGAGTTTGTAACGTAGATCCTCCGGTTTTGTTGTATGGAGATTTTCACAATTTAATTTTTCTAAAAAAATCCTTTCTCGAAGTTTTTTGGTTTCAAAATTATTTGCAGTGATAGATCTTAATAGAATTACTAATTCATCGCATAATACTTGCAGGCGATATTGATGGCAGGCCAATGATATCACCTGAGCCAGATGTTTTGTCGTTCGAGCTTGATAATTCCGAATACCTTTTATTGTTATCTTGCGACGGTGTTTGGGATTCACTAAGTGAACAGGCGGTCTATTCTCATGTTGCGCAGTTTGTTTCTAAGAATTCACAAGAAAGTACGCCTGCTTACCTATTCAGTTACTTAGTATTAGTAGATCCAATTGTTTCTCCCTCCTTCGGCTATAAAGTTTAGTCAATGTCACTTCATATGCTTCCTTTCTACATTGTTATCACTGTTTTAATCAAGTGAATATATCACCATATGCATTTAATAGTAGCAGAATAAGAATCAAAGCCGGTTAGTTCAGATTCACAAATACTATTCTTATTCTTCAATCCAAAAACTAAAGTGTCACTCTCATAGTTTTTTCATTTTTTTATGATGCAACACATTTTCATAAGACCGCATCTTTATGTTTGACTTCCAGTAGTACTTGACCGGCAATGCTTGGTGTTGTCTTTCGATTTTGGCAATTAAATTATAATTATGTTTTCTTTTTTTTTTGGTAAAATAAGCGAAAAACGTAGATTGATTAGGAAACAGAGTATTATGATTTGAAGAAAATTACTTTTTTCCAATTTACCCAAAAAGCAGATTTAAATATAAAAAGGACTTTCTTTCAGTCGATCTTCCTGAACTAGTTGTCAAAAGCCAAGTATATAAATCATATTGAAATTAGATTAGCGACATAATTATGGCATCCATTGCATATCTTACCTGCAACTATTTGTTTGTTTTTATTATAGATTATGGTAAGCTGGCAGAATTCATTGTTGATCGAGCCAGAGAAACAGGAGCAACAGACAATTTAACGCTCATCTGCGTTTTTTTGAGATCTGTGGAAGATTTATGGAAGCTGTTCACTGCTGAAACTTGATTTATAATCACTAATTGATCACTGTCCTTTATTTCTCAAGAATCGATGAGAAAATTAATGATTATTGGTTGGTTTTTTATCCAAGTGTGCCTTATGGAGTACTCTCTGGTATCAGTTTTATATGTTCTGTATTTAATTCCCATCATTTTATTTTTGTTGCATTTATTTATTATTCAAGAATATCCTCGGACTTTTGAAATTATTGGCTGAGTCAAAGGGCAAAAGAAATTTTATAATTTATTTCATATTTATTTTACTTCACATCTTTATTGTGTATGTTCCATATTCAAGCATTTAGTTCTGTTAATGTGTGGTTTCTTATCAGGTCGTCTTTTCTTCACATGAGGAGGATGCATCGGAAAAGTAAATTCACCTTTTTCGGAATCTATTTATTTTTATCTCTTATATTTTTCTTTCACTTTTATTTATTTTTTGATGTGTCGCTCCTATTGAATCAAGTTCAGTTTTCTCTTCTGGCGAACTTCATCGTCAGAAGAAAAAACTTTTTTAGATTTTTTTTCTAGTTACTCTTGAATCTCACCATCTATTCAATCCAGATTCATTTATCATAATTTATTTCGATGGCTTTCTGTGTGATCTTGCTTAGGACTGATGTTTGAGAATAGTTAAGCCTAATTAACTGCTATAATTGTTTATTTGTTTTTGATTTTCTTCAGGAATTTTTTTGAAAAAAATTTTCAATCTTTGAACATTTATCAACAAAATTTTTTCGAACTAATTATTTCCTGTGCTTTGCATATTTATTTTGATTGGTTCCATTTTTATACTAAGTGTTATCTTGTAAATTTATACTTGTTTTCAATGTTGCTCATGTTTTTAGGCGCTTCATATAGTTTTGTATAAAGTTGGTTTTGTATAAATTTGCACTTAACGCAAATGTAAATTTGATTATGTTCGTATTCTTGCAAATTGATATCATCTTTAGTCAGATGAAGACATGGCAGCATCTGTACCGGGAGCCATAGCAATGTTAGAATAAAAGAACTCATTCTTCAATGGATTGAATTTAAAAATTAAAAAGAAATGGAAATAAAATTTGTTGGATTTTAAAATTGAATAGAATTCAGTGAATGACTGAACAATGACGAGGCAATGCAATAGTATGCAAAATTGTTCTTTATCTTTACCTCAGACTTTCTATCATTTATTCACTGGCCGGTATATTGTTATCAAAGGTGTGGGAAATAACAATAAGATCTTCGAATTTGCTCTTTTTTGCAAAATTCATTTTCTTTTCCTCCCTAGTCATGCGCAATTTGTTCATTGCTTTGTCGTCTTTTATGTTTTAAAAGAAAAAGGCGCATTAGGCTGTGGTGCACAACACTAAAACAAATTTGAAAATAAATTTACATTTTTATTGCAACTGAACTGAAATATTGCGGAAATTATAAACAGGGATTGGTGGTTGAATTGCATCTCAAAAAACTTTAATTTTAGTAACTCGGAATGAATTCTTAAATTTTTTGAATGAAAATAGAATGAGCATAGGAAAGGTATGGTTCTTTTGCTGAACTAATAGTGCTATCAACAAAAAATGAACAGCTATCACTTTGCTTAATTGAGACTTTTGAAGCCATAAATACGAAATGATTGAGCTGATTTTTATTGCTTATTTAAAATATAATTTAACGAATTCATTTGACATTATGGAATACACAGCTTGTGTATTCCATAATGTACATAAAAATTTCAGAGGTTTCATTGAGTATTAGTGAAAAGATAAATTTATTTTCATTAATCATCACAATATTGATACAATTTGGCGCAAATGGCGTATGTATCACCTTATGCTTTAATATGTTTTGTAAACATGATTGTTGTTTTACTATATATATAATTTTCACCTACAGTAACAAATAAAGCTAAGAGTATAAATTGAATTGCCTGATTTGTTCACTTTAAAATAATTAAAAAAGTAAAAAAACAAGAAGCCCTCTCACATGCCCAAATTTGAATTATCATTCATATTTTTGTTGTTTGCGCTTTGTCAGAGTTCCTTTTTCCGGTGGCATTAATACGATACATATTTCATGGATACAATATACAAGGTGATTCTATGGATACGATATGTAAGATGATTCCACGGATGCGATATGCAAGATGATTTCATGGGTATGTATATAAGACGATACTGATACGATATGTATTCTGTTCAATCGTTCCCTTCTTATAACTCGAACCTTAGCGCCTGGCACATTTTTTATATGCGCACTTTGTGAGACAGTTGATACTTTGCAATCGAAAATGAATATGATGATGAAATATTTGTCTGTAAAAGATTATGGTTAATTAGTGATTGGTAAATTTTATAAAATATTTTATATTTGTCTGCAACATTTCTAAATCAGTCATTCGAATCATTCATTTGATGCATGTAAGAATGCTGAAAAATCAAAAATTTATAAAAAATTTCTATGTCATTTATACAGAAGTTAATTTATTGGAAATGTTTATCAATCTTTCATTTAATCTCTTACCGTCATTGTAGTTGCATTTTCATTTTTTTTCTCAATCAAAAATGATATAGCATTTTATTGTTCATACGATATTTACAACAAATTAGAATAGAATAATGATCAGTTTTAGTCTTATTTTTGCAATCAACAAATATAAAAATAAAAAGATAGAAAAATGTTCATGATGTTATAGATGCGAAAAATTCAAGTTATTTTATCTGAATTGTAGTCTGATAAAGCACAAAATACCGCATTCTGAATGTGACAAATATTTTTCACTTCGCATTTCAATCTCGATATCGATATATTTCCCTCATAGTTTTATATCACAAAGCTTCATTTATTTTTTTTACTGACAGAAATGCAATCCATTTATAAAATGCTTTACGCCTTATTCAGTTTATTGTTCAGAAATCAAAGACAAATATTCAATTATTAAATAATCATAAAAAATATATTTTATCTCTAATAATTCTTATGCCATTAATGATTAGTACTACAAAAAAAATGCTTGGAATATTAATTTGATTAGGAAGTTTTTGTAACTTATCAAGGAAATAGAGATAAATACAACAAATAAATTTTGCAAAAATTTTTCAAGCTAGAAAAGGCTTCTTACTTATTAATTATGTTAATAATTTATTTGATCGATGTTTACATTTATTAATTCATTATAAAATACACTCGCATCAATATTTCTTATAGTTTTGCAGTTGAAATTATAATCAATGGAATTGCATAATTCATTAATTTAATCGGTTGGAATGCAATTTCGGATTTTCCCGAATCGATGATTCAGAGGATTTGGAAAAGGGATGGGATTTGAAAGTGTTGCGAGTGTTCATAAAAATGGTTTTCCATTCAAATTTGGAATAGAAATTTTAGCGTAAAAAGACCTGTGATTGTGAAGTGACGGTAATGACCAAGCGTAAAAGACATGTGAGCTAATATTCAACAATTTTTCTATCTTTACGATTTCACTATAAAATGTTGAATTAATCCGAATAATTTCTTTTAGAGATCCTTTGATGATCCGATCATTATAGCACCCGAAATGGTAATTACTATAGCAAAAGATAAAATTTTAAAATTTCGAGCACCGTAAATTTCTTTGAAATAAATTACACTCCAAAGAGCTCCAACGACACCTGATACCATACTGTTGACAGGGAATGATATCGATTGAGCAATGTAACTGTTTGCAATGAACCTGAAATTTATCAACTATTATTTTATTTTATTGTTTCAAAATGGTAGCAGATCTTTTTGTGCTTGCCACCTTTTACGTAAACAACAAATTATTGATGACTTATCATATATTCATTCTTATTATCACTTATTTAAATAAATTGCAATCTTTGTTTTATTTGTGGTAAAAAATTACCATGAAGTTTGTGCAACAGCCCACATAGCACCTGAGGTAAACGCAGGTAAAATAATTTGATGATTGACCATCGGCTTATTACATTTGATAATAGCATATACTATCAAAATAACTGTGCTAGCAACGAAGATCCCAGTAAACTGAGCAAAAACATGTGGCAGTGCTTCCGGTGAGCCACCGGCAAACTATAACAACAAAAAATACTCAGTACAGTACATTCATACAAATAAAGTTATTATCAAAGTGAAATTTTAAATATCAGTAAGATAAGTTTAAATTAATAAATTATTTCTATGATTCCAATATTGAATTTAAATTTGATTTTTTAGTAATGAAAAAAAAATAAAGACCTGATCGGGATGTTCTTGAACATAAATAGCAGGAACAAATGTTAATCCATAAAACAGACATGCAAACAGCGACAATACTATGCCTCTGAAATGATTATTTTCGTTTCATTAAAAACTTTTTTGAAAAAGTTGCTCATTAAATTAATAAAAATTCAATTTATCATATCAATTATTGTCGCGAAAGTCGCGAAATTTCAAGAATATTATAAATGGTCAAGTGTTTA